CGGGTCAAAATTGGAAGCTAACCTCCTGGAACAGCTCCCAAGATCCATCTACCGGAATCTTCACATACGAATTAGACCCTCGTAGGCTTCCTCAGGTACTTTTGCATGAAGGCAAGGATATCGTGTACAGAAACGGGCCTTGGGATGGTGTTCGACCCAGCGTCGACCAAGACAATTTGTTCTTTAAAGCCATCTTTATTGTTAATGAAACCCATATCTACTTTACCTTCGACGACGCCGACAATTCCAGAGTTACCAGATTCTGGTTAAATCCGTCGGGATCTCCTGAGCAGCTCCGGTGGAACAACGAGAGAGGTGAGTGGGTTAGCATCTACGCGGTGCAGAGAGACGACTGTGACAATTTTGCGCGTTGTGGTCATAATGGTATCTGTGACAGCAGTGTCACCCCTATTTGCCATTGCCCAACTGGGTTTGTTCCAAAAGTACAGGAAGAGTGGGATGCGATGGATTTTGGCAGTGGATGTGTGCTAAAGACACGCTTGAACTGCAGCGCTAGCGAGGGGTTCAAGAAGTTTTCACAGTTGAAGTTGCCGTACGGTTCGGATTTTAAGGTGAACGGGACGGTGGTGAGGAAGCAGGATTGTGAGTTGATTTGTAGGAGTGCCTGCTCTTGTGTGGCTTATGCTGTGGCTTGGCTTGGTGGTTGTGTGGTGTGGTCTGGGGAGTTGCTTGATATGAAAAGTTTGAGCGATGGTGGGCAGGATCTGTACATCAGAATGGCCGCTTCTGAATTTGGTAAGTATAAATCTGCTTCTCAGTTTTCATTTTGTCAACTAATTAAGTTTGAAAAACAGAACAAGTATAATTAAAAACTCAGGTTAATTGCTACACGTTTAATTATTTCTCATAACTAATGAACGTACTATTCTATTTAATGAACTTTTAAGTTATTAGGCTTTTGTTCTTAAAAGCCGTTGGATTCTAGCCAAATATACAACTTACCCGTAAATAATTAAGGCTTTTTTAGTTTGTTTTTTTTTTTTTTTTTTTTCATTTTTGTCTTCAATGGAAACGATATGCCTAAGAACACAACGCCAGCTCTTTCTTCTTGGGACTTTATTGAGAGAATGACAATCTTTTGGATAATAGTAAAGTTTTCAGCCATTAATGTTGTTGTCTTTTAATATTATATAGGGCACTACTTTCGTTGACCTTACATATTCTTTACTCCACTTATTAAAATGAAATTATATTCATTCAACATTGCTTTTCTTCAACGTTATGATAATGTTCTGATATATATATATATATATTTCTTTTTGCGGTTGCTACACATAAAAGGGAAGGGGTTAACGTGTATTTCCTTTCCCATTTAATTATTTGTTTACTTATAAAATGAAAAATGGAAGTTTGGTACTAGCCCCGCACACTAAAGAAAACGAGAGGGAAAAAAAACAAAAAAAAGACAACCAATCTTTGCACTATTTTTGCATTGATTTCGGGTTAAAGGTAATAAATATGAATTTTAGTTATACACCTTTAATACGTTCTCATGTTACATTTAAGTAATTACCTTAATAAAGATTCTTATTAAGGAATAATATTGTTTTTCATTTTACCTTCTAATAGACAGATAAATATATACTATAGAAAAGGGAACCAGTGATACTCATTTTTATTCCTGTATTTTCCTTTTTTAAATTCATTACATCTATCATGAATATTAGTGCATTACCGTTTGGTAAGCATGTCCTTAATACATTCGTTTTAATATGTTGTGGTTGTACAGAATCAAACAATGGCAAAAGCATTGCCGTGATCATATCAGTAGTTTTGGGGTTTCTTCTATTTTGTTTAGTGGGTGGCTATCTGATCTATATGAGGACATCCTGCTCCCTTATAACCCAAGGTAAGCTATAATATTTTCGAGAAGAACATATTTTGTTTATACCCTATAGTCCAATATACAACATACTACACAATTGTCTGCAATTGGTGTTATCACAGAAACTTCCAAAAAAGTTTAATATAGACTAAAACAACAGCAAAATCTATGATTTTGTTTCTTCTACCTTCTTTATGAGGCCTTTTATATGTGCTAGAAGCTGGATTCCAATAAGAAGATACGACAACTATTCTCGCCTATAACATCTTAAAATAATATACTATTGACATTTTTATAAAAATGTTGCGTGCTTACAAGCTATTTATAGTATTTAAGAACACATCATGAGCATGTAGTTCTTTATTACTGCACATAACCTTTTTTTTCCCCCTTTTCTTTCCCCCTTTTCACTAGAACGGTATAAATATAATTGGTTGAACACTAGTATGCATATCTACGCATTTGACATGTCTAAACTAACAAATTTGTGCAGAGAAGAATTGTATTGATCACATGAACAGATCCTGCAATACAATATTGTGTGGCATTTTGCATTTCTGTTTAATTTCCTGGTTTTGCAGAGGAAACAACAGTCAACTCAAATGAAGATCAGGGTCCTATTCTTCTAGAGGAAGATGTAGATCTACCTTTATTTGGCTTAGATACTATTGCCAATGCTACCAACAACTTCTCCTCCATAAATAAAATCGGTGAGGGCGGTTTCGGTCCTGTTTATAAGGTAATTATTGTGAATTACCTTTATTGTGAAATGAACAATCATAATTCTTCCTATGTATTTTACTTACATTCCTTTTAGCTAATAACACAATTTTTTTTTATAGGGTGTGCTCTCTTCTGGACAAGAAATAGCGGTGAAAAGACTTTCTAAAGATTCTGGACAAGGGCTTGTGGAGTTCAAGAATGAGGTTACCTTAATTTCAAAACTTCAGCACCGGAATCTTATTAGGCTGTTGGGATGCTGCATTCATAGAGAAGAAAGGATGTTGATCTATGAATTCATGCCTAAAAAGAGCTTAGACTTATACATATTCAGTTAGCCACCCTACAAAACTTGAGCTATTTCATATTATTTGTGCCTACAGTTTAAAGACATTGACATTTAACTTTTTGCATTTGAAATGGCAACAGATCAAACAAGGGAAACAACTCTTAATTGGAAGAAGCGCTTTGATATCATTGTGGGGATTGCTCGTGGACTTCTTTATCTTCATCGGGATTCAAGATTGAGAATTATTCACAGAGATCTTAAAGCCAGTAATATTCTTTTAGATAGTGAGATTAACCCCAAGATATCGGACTTTGGCTTGGCAAGAATACTTAGAGGTGACCAAACTGATATAAATACTAAGAGAGTAATTGGTACATAGTAAGTTCAACATCTCTCTATTTGTTTTTCTTTTCTATTAGTGTATAATATCCATATCTTACAACCTTGTATAGTTGTCAAGTGTCATGGGATTTATTTCTTTGTTTTGCTTGAATTTAGTGGATATATGTCTCCAGAGTACATAGTAGATGGGCACTTTTCAGTGAAATCTGATGTCTTTAGTTTCGGTGTCATTGTTTTGGAGATAGTGAGTGGGAGAAAGAACACAAGATTTGAACATCCTGATCATAACCTCAATCTTTTAGGACATGTGAGTTGAGACTTCTTAGTTAATTTTCTTCTGCTCCTTACTATATCTTTCTTATTTTTAATATAAATGATTCACAAATTAACAGTATGGATTTGTGTTAGGCATGGAAAATATGGGTTGAGGGCAGGCCCATGGACCTCATCGATGTTTTGATGGAGAATGTTCCTGCATCTGAAGTGTTGAGATGTATCCAAGTAGGACTGTTGTGTGTTCAAAAGCATCCAGAAGACAGACCCTTAATGTCATCTGTTCTCTTGATGTTGGATAGTGATAATGTCTCCTTACCCCAACCTAAACAACCTGGATTTTATGTTGAAAGAGCTTTTACAGAGTTAGCTGATTCTTCATCATCATCATTGAATAAGCCAAGCCATGTTTCTACTGATGTAACTGTTACAATACTACAGGGGAGAAGATAAAAATAAAAAGCAAAAAGAAAAAGAAGAATATGTTCAAATTGATGCAACGAGAAAGATTTCGTTGGTCTGCACATTATTAGAGTTTTTATTGAATTTAGGAATGTTCAAATATTATATTTTTTTATTTTTTTATTTTTTATTGTCCATTTACGGTACTTATTTAGATGAAATAACAGAATTTGTGTACGTGTGAATATGAGGGTTTTTTTTTTTTCACATCTTCGAGTGAATCATCTAAGGAGAATTTAGTCATCAGTCACCAAATGCATTTGTTTGTGGGAACGCTAGGTATCTTCTACACTGAATATAGATTGGTTACATTTTTTTGTTCTTGTTGTTTTTCAATGCCAATATTAATCATTCCATGCCAACAAAAATCTTGCCAAGTCCTAGGCTCGTAAATTTGAAATCGTAAATTTAAAAAAAAAAAAAAAAAAAAAAAAGTCTCAAGAAAAATCGTTCACATATTTCATTGATTACATTGAGCAAATATAGATGGTGTCATGATTTTTCTGATGAGTTGGTGTGTGACTTCTTATAGTATTTTTGTATTAAATCTGCATCAGCAATTTAGTCCTCGTGTTACAGTTGCCAAAAAAAAAATGATCATTTTGTCTTGCGCACATGTAAGTATGCATTAACGTTTGATGGTAATGTGATTCAAGGTTTTAGGAGGGGCAGGCCACGAAGGGAAATAGTTACAATGTTTTCTATTAAATTGACTATTTTGCAATCTAAAGAACCCATCCACCTTATTCATACCAACAAACAGAAATTTACCGAACAACATTTTTTCTCTTACTGCATTCAACCAAATCATAACTTTTCCTGCCGTTTTAAGAGCCCATATAAATCTTGATGAGTTTTTCTACTGATTGCTTCTCGGGAAGTATCAATTATCACACTAATTGATGATGACCATTGTAATAGGTTTGCATTAATACCAACTATAAACTAAATATTCTTCTTGTAATCTCTTATATAACAAAATTCTTATTACTATATGAAGATATTATGTCTTATTGTTGTGAAAAATTGTAACATAAGTATACGCTATCATAATCAAGTAATATAATAATGAATAAGAGTATCGTCCCACGAGGATTGTTGTTTACAAATTATCGAAATTAACTCCAATTTTATTTGAATAATCAAAAAGAGAACTAATAAAATTAAGTAAAGTAAAACTAAAACAATTAAATAAATAAAACAATGCTAAACAGTGGAATAAAATTCAATAGATTAAGGCCCCGTTCACTTCACTAATTCGAGTTTAGAATTCGAGTTTTGCTACAGTAAAAAGTTCTCACAAACAATCACATCTAACTTTTTTGCTACAGTAAAAAGCTCTCACATAAAATCACATCTCAACTTGAATTACAAACTCGAATCAGCGAAGTGAACGAACCTTAAGACTCTAGGGTTTCCAATTTCACTAAGATTAATCATGTTCAAATTCTCATAATATAAGAAAATTAACATTCAATCTTATGTTGACAGTAATTTCTCTAAAGCAATTATTATTCTTTCTAAAGCAACAATAATTTTAATCCAACGAGCAAACTCCACATCTCTATCAGACTTCTAAACCTGTTGAAAATCATTAAGTGCAAGAAATTCAAAAGAACTGCACAAGTATTATAAATATCTCTATCCTATGAACAACCCATAGTATTTCAATTAAGAGCTTATTTAATTATCACCTCTCATGTAACAACCGGAAAAATTTCAGGTCTAATCCGGAGAGTCCGGTATTTGACCATAATTTCTTCCGGAACAGAAAGTAGTAAAATTTTCAGCTTGATCAAGGAAATGTTATGTAGAAACTTTATGTACGGGGTAAAATCTCCTGAAAAGTGTAAACTTATAATACGAATATTTTTACAAAGAAAAGTTCGTAAATATCAGTTATGAATAGTGAAATTATTAGTACCGGAAAGAAACTCGTTTTGAGAAATGAAAAGTTAGATCTCGACAAGAAAAATTTGAGGAGTATGGAACCCACTCATTTGCTAGCACGTATCTTTTATATGGCAAAGAATAAAAGCAGGTTGAACCAAGTTATAGTATATATATATATAAGATTATTTCTAAGTACGTTTAAAAAAAAGTGAAATGATTATTACGTAAGGGTGACATGGGCTTCACATGCAAACATAACACTTGCCGTTGTTACATATGTTGGTGACTCATGTTGGCTACATACTTCACATGTAAGGAATGAGCCGTTGTTTTAATGCCATTACTCACGTTGGTTACATACTTCACATGTAAGGCAAAGCAGAGAAAGGTTTGTACAGAAAAAACGTGAGAGAGGGAAGTAAAAAGAAAATAGATTAGAGAGAGATGGAGAAAGAGAAATCAAGGAAATCAAGCATTATCACTAAAATTTCTTCCATTCAGTCTGACAGAAACGTAACCTAAGGCGTTCTAGAGAAAAACCTCAACTTCTGGAGGTAAGATTTCAGATTTTTCATGAGAATTCTATGATTTCTTGATTTGGATGAATAGTAACCCATCTGGGAAAACTTTTGTTAAAGTAAAAATCGAAACCGATGTTTTGTAGAACATCGTAATAAGAGTCTAACGGTGTAAGTATTAAAACGATTGAACGAAATTTTGGTGGATTCTCATTGAAAATTCGTGAGCCTAGATTAAGAAAGAACATGTGTTTTTGTTCAATTTTATGTTAGAATCTGTGTTTAGGAATGCAAATCATAACTCCAAGTACCGAAATCATAATTAAAACGAGTTATTGAAAACTCAGGAAACGAGAAAAACAAGGCGAAACTCTGCCGAAATTTAGTTTGAGTAATTTGAACTAAAACTAGATTTCAAGAGGAATATGGGATTAAAGTGTGAAAAGAAAGATGTTTCGATAATCGGTGATGGTTAGAAACCGAACACAATGAGAATTCACAGTTTTGGACCGAAACTGAAAATTAGGCTCATGACTAAGTAATTTGCACGGTTTTAGTGCAAATCCTTGAGATAGGAAATAGTTTGAGGTCGAATACCAAACATAAGGATTGTAGACCTTTCCGACGTAAATTTCAATGTAATTATTGATCTTAGATTTTGAATCTAACGATCAAAAAATTTATGCAATAAGGCCGATTATGTAATGACTGAGAAAATCCCATACCTTAAATAATACAATTTATGTATT